AGCGACATTGGCCATCTTTTAAAACGCTGCTAGAATAAGTTCGAAGAATTTCTCAATTTCTGAATACAAACCTCTCCCGTGTACTTCTTTTATCGAAATCGGCAGAGCATTTTAATTTCAGTACTTATAGAAAGACTGTAGGAAACCGTGAAATATTCTAATCTATAAAAATATCATTGCTAGCCAAAGTACAATGTTTAATTACCATTCTTCGTTCTTCAAAAAAAAAAAAAAGATCATTTGAACAGAAAACTAAAGGCTCGGTAACAAATGAAATTGGTAAGGGTTAGTGCTTAATGTGAATTTGGTTTGACAGTTTAACATCGTACAGTAAAACAGTTTAACTAACGAGCATAAAATTACCATTTGTATCTATACACTGCGCTTCTTTACGTCTCTAAGTAAGATTTTATGAGCCCATTTATACTAAAATAATAAGCTTCTGAAGAAATTAAACGCACAGTATGAAAGAGGCGAGCTTGATCGTAGTACGTTATCATAAGGACATCGTGAGAAAGCTAGAAGAAAGCCCAGTCAAATCCCCTACTTTCCCTCCCTCATTTTCTCCTCTACCAGACTGTAATGGTGAGACGTGATACAAGTGAACTAGATGACAAAGATATGCTACTTTCAGCCCAACTCATACCACGAAGAACCTCCCCAACTCGTATTTTAATAGACAAACCCATTAAAGCTACCAACAGATGTATATGGTCTACCTCTTGTTACGTAGAAGGGAATTTTTATTGTGACGAGGTATTCAAAGAAAAGCAGATGTTTTCATTAGAGAAGAACATAACGTTTTCTTTCCACTTCCTTTAGACTGAAGATAAATACTTTGTAAGAACGAAACAAAAGAAATAACGTCCAGGAATGGATAGAAAGATATAATTCAGTAAATTCCAAAGATAGATGGATAGATAGATGGGAAGACAAATAATTTTTGTTTAACTGCATGTGTGTGGTCTTACCCTCCAGCATTCTATAGACTGTAATAAGAATAAAAAAAAATGTTGAAAATCCACTAGTCACCGAAATAGTACCTTATTTAGGAGATCTGAAGCGAAACGGCGATAGGATTGTCTTTGTTTCGTAAATGGTTTTACGATAGACATGTTTCTGTTTCTATGGCTACAAACGATATTTCATCCGAGTGAAGCCGCAAAAAAAACGTGGTAATATACCATCACAGCAACTGTGGTATATAAAGGTTAACTAAATTTACTCCAGAGCTATATCGGAGATAAGTCCACTAAGCAGGAGCTTCGACAATATACGGTATTATGGAGCAATGCTGAATGTACATCGGGCTGAGCTCAAGTCTAGAGATAACTGGACTGAATGATAAGTGTAAGACACAACGAACACAGTATTTACTAATACAAAGACAAAACACTGTGTGTGAAAGAGAACATACGATCGCCTCTACTGGATAACTGTATAGAACTTCGGCCTTTCTTCTCTCGGAACGAATTCCTGGAAAGCAAACCACTTTGAAAACCAAATATAATTGTCCAGAAAACGAGGTTTTGAGCTCGCATGAAACATCGGGTTATTTTCTTGGATTGCGTCACCATGTGACCAGTCACTCACAAGACTCGTTAACTGGGGCTTATATATATCACCCAATCGGCTAACGGAAGGGTGCTGAAACCTTTTGGTGGGCCAAGTGGATGCCATCTGATATAGAAGAGAGAGAGTAACCCATATAGCAAGGCTAGTTCTAAGATATTTTAACAGTTTTCTTGATTATATTTCATGTGATAACCTGCACATATACAGAATAAATATTAATTCTGCAGAAAGAAAAAAAGTAACCTATGGTATATTCCTATACCACAGTATCCTATCCCATATAACACAACAAGCACAATATAAAGCTTGCTATTGTATAGAACGACATGCAACCAAATGAGTAATGTTACATAACCAAATAAATAACGTCATGCAAAAACAAATAATATCCATAACGCCATACAACCAGGTGAATAACGTCATGCAACCAGATGAATAACGTCACACAACCAGGCGAATAACGTCACACAACCAGATGAATACCGTCACACAACCAGGTGAATAACGTCACACAACCAGATGAATACCGTCACACAACCAGGTGAATAACGTCACGCAACCAGGTGAATAACGTCACGCAACCAGGTGAATAACGTCACACAACCAGATGAATAACGTCATACAACCAGATGAATAACGTCACACAACCAGGTGAATAACGTCACACAACCAGGTGAATAACGTCACACAACCAGGTGAATAACGTCACACAACCAGGTGAATACCGTCACACAACCAGATGAATAACGTCACACAACCAGGTGAATACCGTCACACAACCAGATGAATACCGTCACACAACCAGATGAATAACGTCATGCAACCAGATGAATAACGTCATGCAACCAGATGAATAACGTCATGCAACAAGGTGAATAACGTCACACAACCAGATGAATAACGTCACACAACCAGTGAATAACGTCATGCAACCAGATGAATAACGTCATGCAACCAGATGAATAACGTCACACAACCAGATGAATAACGCCACACAACCAGATGAATAACGTCATGTAACCAGCATGAAAAATGTCCACTCCTGATCTAATCTTGTTATAATGTAAATTCTCATAAACTGTATATGATAATTGTGTATGCGCAGTTCCATAAACTTAGCGATTGGTATAAACGGTATAAAAGGACAACAGATAGACTAATGAGAAAATACTAAAGTACTGAAATCAACTTTAATCCTTGTTGTGTGCTTTAATCTCGAGTAAAAAATATAATACCGTTGAGCAGGACATTTTTTCAAACTCCCTTCAACGTGGTACATATCAACAAGACGCTTCAAACTTAGTGCATACAATGTGGTACAGTTCAGTTTAATATGTTAAAAACTACATACGATATTGAACTAGTCGATCTTTTATCAAACTATACATATTACTTACCTAACAGAAACAGTCAACCTTTGAGTGTTGCAAGCTACATTTTAAGTTACATTCTTCAGAACTCCAAGACAATAAGTCTTAACGCAAAATTCTGAATGTGTTACATAGAAATTATGGACACCTGACAAAACGCTGTTAATACTGACAACTTTGAAAACGTGACAGAACATCTGAACGTGTGATATAAAATGTAGTGACCGGACAGAACAGCACGTAACACGAATCACAAGCGCGGATGAAAACTGTGGCAAAGGAAAAATAGTATATATATGTTGTGAGTTGTGAATTTTTTTTTTAATTAAATGAAAGCCTTAGAGTAGAGAGTGAAGATAACGAAGAAATTAATAAATGAAACTGTGGAAGAAATTCTGGGTAAAAGAATTAGTTCATAAAAGGAATAACAAATTTAGAAAGAGTCCAAGATAAACGAAAGACTAAACAAGAAACAATCCATCGATAACTGGTTTGTAATTAATCTTGAAACTGTCTTTGAATTAATTAATTGGACCAAGCTAGACAAAAAAAATAATTATTTTACCTCAATGGTTACACTTTTGGACACAAGGTAGCAGCAGTGTCGAGAATAACGATCCTTCCTTAAGGCGGGACATCAGAGAATGACGTCACTATACGACAGGCGTCATTCTAAGAACCAATGAGATCGTGCTGTAACGTATCAATCGGAACGACCTTCTTGTCCGCGGCTCCTGAAAGGTGGCGTCACCCACAATGAGCTGGTAGTTGTGGAGAGCTAGATCAACACTACTGTTATTTTCCCACGTGCTCTGTTAGCGGAGGCAGTGATTTCTACAGTGTACAAATTTCGCCTAGAATGATGGAAACCGACTCTTCACAGACCACTTCGGGGAGCCTTAACGAAACCCAGAACGACTTTGGGTAGGTGTAGTCAGAAAATCGATTCGTGCTTGTTCTTGTGTATGTGTGAGTGAGAGAAATGGGGAGATAGAGGATCCGAGGGTCAGGTTAAAGAATCGTCTCTGTCACAAAACCTGATCGGGAATTAGCGAACAGCACCTAATCACTTTTCTTTTTCATTCTCTCTTTCAGGAAAATGTTTATAGGAGGCTTAAGCTGGCAAACAGCTCCAGGTGAGATATTATTATTTTTTTTTTTCCAGTTTTGTTTTACTTAAGTGTCGTTAAAACATATCTTAAACAAATTACATCAAATATATATCGGCACGAGGCCTTAACTTTAAACTGTTTTTGTGTGTGTGCCAAATTCAAGAGTAAGAAAAAACTACAACACGTATTTGAAATATTTTTATCTTACATTAAAACAAGTTTGTTTTTATTTACATGAGACGGTTTTGTATTGCTTTGCACACACACAAAAACAGTTTTGTATTGCTTTCTCTTAATAGTGTTTAATTTTTGTAACTTGAACAAGATTTTCGGGATTTTTTTTTGGGGGGGAGGGGGTTGCTTTATTTATTGGTTTAAGAAGTTTCTATTAGATTTAGTTATCTTAGTTGTAATAGGAACACTATGTAACACTACATTGTTATCTTTATCGTAATATGGAAAATATACAACACTACAACGTTATCTTAGTCGTGATAAGGGAATTATGTAACACTACAACGTTTTCTTGATCGTAATAAGCAATTATATAATACTACGTCACATTAGTCTTAATAAGATAACTGTTTAATACCCTAACGTCATATTAATTATACTGTGTAAGTATAGCACTAAAACGTTATGTTAGTAGACTAGTAATAAGTGAACTATTTAAGCACTACATCGTTATCTTGCTCGTGATAATTAACTAAACGATTTGCTAGAAATACATGATTCTATTTCTAAAGAAAGCCAAGAATATTAACTGTAAGTGTAGGACGGTTATAAAGAAAACCAGAACGATTTGCTAGAAATACATGATTCTATTTCTAAAGAAAGCCAAGAATATTAACTGTAAGTATAGGACGGTTATAAAGAAAACCAGAAAGATTTGCTAGAAGTACAGGTGATTATAAGTAGATGTGAAAGGTGTATTATAAAGAAAACAAGCAGGGTTTGCTAGAAGTACAAGGGTGATTATAGAAACACCAGAGAGATTTGCTAGAAGTACAGGTGATTATAACAAAACAAGCAGGATTTGCTAGAAGTACAAGGGTGATTATAGAAACACCAGAGAGATTTGCTAGAAGTACAAGGGTGATTATAAGTAGATGTGAAAGGTGTATTATAATGAAAACCAGAAATACTCAAAATGATTGTATATTAAAAACAACTTGTCCTATGAGAACAGTATTTCACTAGAGGCGTATTGAGAATCACAAGTTTTATACAGGAGAATTTGGACATGTACAAGATGTTTCAAAAACTGTCACGGGTGTTCAGTATACTTTACGTAATTCTCAAAGAGAATATGGAGCCTATCCCTAAATGAATATACTGCAGTTATTCGTGTTGTCAGTCATGTTTGGTTCAGTTATGTAATTATTCGTGTTGTCAGTCATGTTTGGCTCAATCATGTAATTATTCGTGTTGTCAGTCATGTTTGGTTCGGCTATGTAATTATTCATGTTTGGATCAATCATGTAATTATTCGTGTTGTCAGTCATGTTTGGTTCAGTTATGTAATTATTCATGTTTGGATCAGTCATGTAATTATTCGTGTTGTCAGTCATGTTTGGCTCAATCATGTAATTATTCGTGTTGTCAGTCATGTTTGGTTCGGCTATGTAATTATTCATGTTTGGATCAATCATGTAATTATTCGTGTTGTCATTCATATTTGGCTCAGTCATGTAATTATTCGTGTTGTCAGTCATGTTTGGTTCGGCTATGTAATTATTCATGTTTGGATCAATCATATAATTATTCGTGTTGTCATTCATATTTGGCTCAATCATGTAATTATTCGTGTTGTCAGTCATGTTTGGTTCGGCTATGTAATTATTCATGTTGGGATCAATCATGTAATTATTCGTGTTGTCATTCATATTTGGATTAATCATGTAATTATTCGTGTTGTCAGTCATGTTTGGCTCAATCATGAAATGCAGAGCTAGGTTTTGGTCAACCGGTACGTGCAACTGAATATATTAATTTGATGAGAAACACGCCGGATCTTTTGTTAACCTTTCACAACATTTAATAGTAAATAGTTACATTCAGCCCGTTACAGTTTTTTTAGTGTCAAGAAATTATGGCTATAAATTTAAAAAATTACATACAACTCTGAGAAGAATAAAAGCGATAGAGCTTGATCATATTCGGAAGATTTATATCCAGTGTTGTTGTTCTTTACGTATTTGATAGAATCACTCCAACTTCGTCTCCGTATCCTTGTGTGAGCAAATGATATTTGTAATGATTCACTGTAATATACAGTGTCTATCACTGCCTGCAGTATAGTTATATAGAAGAACTTGATCACTGTTGGATGTTATATAGACGTACTTGGTCACTATTGGATGTTATATAGACGTACTTGGTCACTATTACCTTTTCACTAGTTAGGTTTTATTGTCGTGTGGATATACTGCCTGCAGTATAGTTATATAGAAGAACTTGATCACTGTTGGATGTTATATAGACGTACTTGGTCACTATTACCTTTTCACTAGTTAGGTTTTATTGTCGTGTGGATAAAAGTCTTTGTGTACATAAATGGAACGCGTTCCTTAATCTAGATCCTTGTTGTATATATTACCTTCAGTAAATATACTGGCTGATATTTCTATTCCAGTAATTTAACTTTATTTTACGTGTACTGTAACTGAATTAACTATCCAGATTATGTAAACAAAGCACTTGTTTTCGAAATCAGCGTTTTATAAATAAACTATAACGGAAATATCTGTTAGGGAACATAAATCATATCAGTCAATAATAAGTGCAACTATAACTAAAAACATGTAAAACAATAACGTAATAGTAAGGAAAAGTATTTGGTTATCTGACATACGTCCACGTCCGTTGGGTGGACAAGCGTTCTGACATCCTTGTGCACGTGAATAGAATGCGTCAGAAATGCAGAAAATAGTCATGTAGCTAAACGGAAAGTATGTTTACTGAAGACTTCTGTTTATTCAATGTTGGTGGCTGGCTAGCCTAAGGAGAGTATTGTGAAGGGATTAATCAGGCAGGCGGTAGCACTGTCTGTGTATGGATGGCTCGGATTGTTCATCGAAATGGTATTTTAAATATCTACTCAATAGGTCATCAGAACGTTACAATAATATAGAGTTCATCCTTTTATAACAATATCTATGTAATGACTGAGTCACAAGTTCTGGGAATGTCTGTAAATATCATAGCAAAAAGTTTGAATTTCTCGTTCTTCTTTCCGCTTCTTTTTTATTACATGATAACTCAAAAACCAAACAATGGTGTCAACCAATTTCACTGACGTGACATAGTTTCAAGTGAAGTATTCGCTTTTATAAGTATTATTAAGTAGGACTAATTAAACAAAAAATCACAATTCTGGTGTAAACGATGTTATCATTACCCCTGGAAGTTAGCTTTCTCACATACATTTGGTGTTCCTTTAAAAAGCTTAGATACAGAACAATAAATATTACAGATAAAACCTCATTGTACATACAACTTGGTTATAAATACAACCTTTCTATGTCTATTGAAACATTGCATTAAATGAAAACAAGCAAAGAAAAACTTTTCATAGAAAGAAGTAAATGTAGGGATGGCTAATATCAGTCCTTCAAAAAGAACGCAAATACGATAGTAAGTAAATGTGTTCTTCCCTCAACCAACCTGAACCCTACATTTACTTACTTTTTGAAAAGTTTTTCTTTACTTGTTAATGTAGAGCTCCGAGTTATTTTACCTCGACTGATGTCAAGGTCGTCACCACTGGTTAATTATAATAATATCTAAACTGATATGTAGTTAACTGTAATAACAACTAAAATTAAACTAAAACTAGAGGTACAAATCCTTAACTATGACTAAAAAACTGTTCGCAACACGAATATACTGTGTTAATTATATACAAAATTGATTCGGGTATTACATCATTTGCCTCATTTTTCTACACTCACTACTGTAATAACGGTTTTCTTTTTATTCAACTTTTTTACGTTAAATACTTGCCTTTTGCACTCTACCTGAAAATTAATTAATTGATCAGAAGATACAAGTGTATCTACTTTTGTTACTTAACCATGAAATTATCGACATGTTTTTATGCTGGTCACTACTGGTGGGGTGGCTTTACGATTTTGTCTGGTGCAACATTCATTGTGTAAAAAAAGTGATCAAACTTTCGAAATGACTCATTTTCTACGTAAGATACACAGATGATCTAAAAAAGTGATCAAAACTTTCGAAATGACTCATTTTCTACATAAGATACACAGAAGATCTAAAAAGTGATCAAAACTTTCGAAATGACTCATTTTCTACGTAAGATACACAGAGGATATTCTCAGCAGTAATCAGTGAGATTAATCGCAATATTGTCATTTATTGGTGACTTGTATGTTGTTAAGGTCTGTATAATCATCAGTTTCATGATGGATTACAAGCAATATGGCGTATGACTAGTTTAGAAAACGTGTTTAAAAAGTTGATAAGGTATCAGTAGTTTTAAGGTTAAGAAAAAGGTTTTCTTAGTTGTGTAGTTCGTAAATAAAACCGTGTTTCTGTTCATGATTTCTGGATATGTTGTTTTGTACTCCAAGAACGTTGTCGTGTACGGAGTTTATTTAACCAGCGTATTTCATATCACAAACATTAACTTTAGATTTCTGTTTCTACAGAGACTCTGAAGGAGTATTTTGGGAAGTATGGAGACATCACAGAAGTAATGGTAATGAAAGACCCGTCCACGAGGAGATCTCGGTAAGTAAACCACCAGATTTCAGAAATACTTTCTCGACCAGCTGATATACAGGGTGGGGGAAAAATGGCTATATAGTTGTTTCAGGTGAAACAAACGGCCATTAACACCTGCAATACGAGCCAGCCCAGGACCTTTTAGTACTGACCCTGGGATGGTTAACAGGGGTGGGGATCATTCCGTAAAACGGTGATTTAGGGTTATTTCGATAAATCTCGATGAACGAAGCTCGGCACAACTTCTAAAACGAAAAAAAACAAAATTAAATATTGATGAAAATATCACATGATGAAATCTATATGAATTATACTATGGTGTTACCATACTGGGCATTATACCATCCTACTTATATTTACTCTTCATTGCAGAAATGGCATTTTCAATGTAAGAATCGCTAGGGAACTCATTTTATAAATATATCGTTCATCTTCTTCAGCTTCAACACTACATCTCTAGACTTTACTGTGTCGTTAGTTTCACAACATATTGAAACCAATGATTTCTTATATATGTGATTCCAATCCTCCCTTTTGAAGATAACAATACTATTGTGCTAATTTTTTTATGTTTCGCTGTCAATGCAGTAATCAATTGAAGAATCTCCGATTCAGCTGGTATATCAAATCGATTGGAATATCTCCAAATAAGTTCTTCCCTCATCCGACCTGGACCCACGGTTTAGCTTAATCGCTACACTTAAACCATCACATGCACAACCACATCTATAACATTTCAAGCATGTTTCATTGCTACGTCGTTTTACTTTACATTTACAAGTTAACTCCGCCATGTTGGTTCTCATGGTCACGGGTATGGTCCAGCGACCTAGACCTCGAAAATAGTGCCAAACGTCTTTTTTTATTATTGATCCAACAAACACAAATCTTTCCGGAATGACTCGTTATTGTTTTTTTATTCACATCAAGATGCTGGGGTGGCTCCCGTGACAGGTGTTAAATTAGTTTCAGCTGTCTTCGTTATATATATTTTTTCAATACCAACTGTATAGTAAATTTTACCCCACTCTGCATGAATGCCACTATAAAATGCCTTCTTAGACACTCCGGTTTCATTTGAAAGAATAGCTCCAGCTTTTTCTCCTCACCTTGTATAAGCACATAAGATCTGTAATGATTATTCTTAACATATAGTGTCCAGCACTGCCTGCAGTATACACGGTGTTGAATATTACTACGTAACAACACTTTCAAAGTATTTAGTGTTATAAAGGACTGAATGAACTTTGTATAGAGGGGGGGGGTAAGTAATCGCACTTTGTAAGAATTATTTGTGTCTGTTAATGTAGTGGAGCCACGCTTGGCTCACTGAGCACTTTATATTTGGTTCATGGCAAAATCCCCAAACTGTTAACAGTGCAATGCTGTCAAAGTTGACTTATGGTAATCGTTCTTATAGAATGTGATTGACCTTAAACTTGATCGGCACTGTACTGAAACATTAGTTTGTTTGTTTTTTTGTTTTTGAATTTCGCGCAAAGCTACACGAGGGCTATCTGCGCTAGCCGTCCCTAATTTAGCAGTGTAAGACTAGAGGG